CTATCTCGTTGATCTCAGGCACCACATCGCGGACGCGTGCCAGAATCTCTCGATGGCGCTCGTCCAGAAGGCTGTGGCGGAGTTTTATAATAGTATTTAATATGCTCTTTAATATGGTGGTAGAAATGTCCGATCAGAATTTATAAAGTGTAACTTATAGCGCCACGAAAGTCAATGAAGAAAGACTTTGAAGTGACTTTTTTTGGACCCCCTGTATGCTCAATCGAAGTGTCGGAGGATTTCCTTTTCAACCTAATAATTTGATTTCCCTAGCGATTCTAGGGATACCGTCAAGCCCGACCTTATATGTTCTTTGATTTGAGAATGCATTCTAAAACTAGATCAGGTTCTGGTACAACAATGAGCAAACAATATTTATTGATCGTTGTCGAATAAATTAAGCGGATTTAGTGGATGGAGCGGCGGTAGTGGGGTCTGCTGCCTTGGCGGTCTCAGTGACCTTCTTCTTCTCAGTGATCTTCTTCTTCGATTCTTTAGTCTTCACTTCTTTAACCTTGCGTGCCTTACGGAGTTTGCGAGCCTTGCGTGCCTTACGGAGTTTGCGAACCTTGCGTGCCTTACGGAGTTTGCGAGCCTTGCGTGCCTTACGAAGTTTGCGAGCCTTGCGTGCATGAGCTCTGCGAGCTCTGAGCGCATGTCTTCGGCGTTTGGCATGAGCACGGCGGAGTCCGCTAGCAAAACGTCTTCTCACGGCGGCGCGACGACGAGCAGCTCGTTTCTGGTTGCGCACGTGACGTGCACGGTGTGCACGGCGTTTGCGAGCGAGGCGGTTGTTGCGTTTAGCCTTGGCTGCTTTGGCCTGAAATAGAGGTTGCTTAGAGACGGAATGAGTTCAGAGAAAGCTTCATCCCAGTTAGGCAGGAACATTTTACATTCTCAGAACCTTACCTTGCCCTTAGATTCCTTGGGTTTGGGTTTCAGGAAGCCGAACAGATCAACGCCTCGTTTAGTTCGCTCCAAAGCAGATCCTTCCTCGGCGATGGACTGCAAAAACGATCGTTTACTTAATCAATGCATAAATACTGCTGCTATGTTAGGTACTAGGCAGTGATCATCTCTGAACCGCTACCTACCAGCTCAGTGTCATCCTCGGCTTGCACCTCAGTGATAGCAGCATCCTCGTTGTTCTCAACCTTCAAAAATTTCAGTGCAGATGAAATAAAACCTATTTAATTGTAATAATGGTGGAAACAAAGGGTGAAAAAGATTATTTACTCGCAATTAGTCAGTCCCTTTTTGGGATGCGGCACGCATTCTACTTCCATTCAGAATCGTAGTGGCTTATTGAATGCGATGTGGCCTATACAATGACTTGCGCGGCCAGCCGATTGACAAGTCAGTAGTATCCTCCCAGACCCGGTACCAATTCACCGTATCCCAGAGTGTAGAATGCTCGGTTGGCCTGGGCGGGAACTAATCCGGGATTTGATCCGTGTACGCAGTCTAGAGATGCTTTTGATAGTTTTGTCCTGTTGTTTCTCACAAGGTCTCTCAACGTTCCTTACGTATTCCACCTTGCGTTGAGTACAAGCTGAACTACTATTCATGTTCCTACCTGGACATCCTTGGCGGCCACGTACAGCACAAAAAGTCCTAGAGTAACTAGGACTATCCGCATCTAAAACGAGAAACATCGTGATCAGGAACAGATCGAGACGAGAGGGGAAGTAGAAGGCAATGCGCATGGTTTAGAAAAGTGGTGCAGTTCGGCGACGGAGGGGGGGGGAGCATTTCACAGTCCCATTGCTTCACTAGTTCTTCGGTATGCTGATTACGAAGTCGCTCACTGCTCCGGTTGTAAACCTGTGAACTCTTGTGAAGCTGGAGCAAGGTAGTCGAGCCAACATGGTAAAACCTGTCAGCTCAAAAAAAGGCTCTCTAGTTGTGTCGACTCGTCGTGGGAAGTAGAGAAAGTGCGAAATGCTCCCCCCCCTCCCCATCGCCCATTGCCGAACTGCCCCGCCAAATTCGAAGGGACCCGAGGCTCTGTTCAGTGGAAAAGATAAACAGGTGGCAGGTTGCAGATTGTTATTTTTCGATTTTTAGCTTTTGCAAAGCAATGAAGTAAAGGTGTTATGGGCTTAATGTCGCAACTAATGCGAGTAGTCAGAGATGATTTTCGGCCAACCTGAACCGAACTATCAAGCAAGAAAAAACAAACAGAACCCTTCCACAGGTTCCCAGAGAAAGGTAGCTTAACGATAAATTAGCTGAGAGCGCGGAATATCCGTGTAGTTCGTTAAAGAACTCGAAAACTGAAGTGGATCAAGTTGGAGGATGTGGAATTAGCCGACAAAAGACGGCTTTTATATATGGTTAGTCCGTGATCGCATCGCTAGCATGCAGGTACGGGTTTTCGGCAAGCGGATCTGCAAAGGCGGTCGCCAAGCACGGCTTTTGTCCATAGCATTTTCGGTACAACAGACGGCGATTTTCTGAATGTACTTAAGAAGTGTCAAGAATGAGAAGGCTCTAGTTTTACAGGTCATTCTATCACCGAGAACCAACGTCGGTGATAGCGTCACGCTGACACTTCTCACCATATTCCGGCTCCCATTGTATCGTCAGTGCTGCTTATATAAGCATAGACTTTGGAAAGAAAAGAATCCCTGCGCAAGTTACGCACTCTATCAGTTTAGGTTCCTCTTGAAGTTTGGGTTGAGTAGTCTTCCAATAAATTCTGGTCTATGAGCAGAACACCAATAACATGAAATTGAGCTCAAGTTCAGGCTCGACAGACCTCCACGTCTCAAAGATTGTCCTGTGATCTCGCTATGCTGTGTAGTCGAATTCGTCTAACTACAGGAGTCACTTCTAAAACTTCTTCATCTTCAGGATGCAATTATCGATCCTGCTCACAACTACAGTAATCGCTGCCATTGTTGGCTTCTCGTCAGCTGCTGAAGAAAAGGTAAGAGTCTCAAACACAGTCTTGGGCAATCTCGGCATATTCTTGAGCAGTCTACTAGACCCACACTGAATTGAAACAACTCAACAGGCTGTTGAAGTAGAGAACAACGTCTTAACCACTGGGCTACTGAAACTGACCCGGTAGTGACCGTTGAGAACATAGTTCCTACTTGAACAGCCTGTTGGATTAAATCCAAGGCTGAGCATCTCAGTTCTTTGGTGTTCCGTATCTAGTTAATTGCTGCAAAAACCTTCTCCGACAAGGGCAACAGTACTATGCAAAGCATATCGAGATAACTCTATAGCGAGGGACAGTTTACTGGAATAGTTCGTGGGATTACGGCAAACCCATTTGACCACGGGTAGTGTGCGAGCTTCGGTACTGCGCAGTTGCGTTTTTGGTTGAGGCGTTGTGCAGTGTCAGAAGATGTGCATAAAAATTAAAAGCCAGAGATTAGGCTTTTGAGGAATGCTACCGGAAGGACGTGGAGGTTAGGGAAACGATTTCCAAGGTGGATAGACCGCTTCACCTGCCCCCTGCTCATTCTCACTAGCCTTAGGCAAGAGGAAAACAGGTACTGATTCCGGAGGAGAACATTACAACGAGACGAAACTGACGCGCCGAATAGAGTATTTGGGCTCGTATCACAGAAGGGAATTACTAGACGGGAAAGCACAGATTTTGACAACCCCCACTACAAGCCCACTTCCCCACGTGAGCGATACCTCTTTTAACTCCATTCTCTTTATGGCTCATAATCTATGTACAAACGAGCAGAATTGTTTTTTAGCCAAAACTTACCGCCAAGTCGGAAGGAGTGCTCGCAGAAATCAGGTCATTAAGAGATCAAGTGAAGAAGGAGCTACAAAGTATAGACGACAAGGAAGAACGCGAGCTAGTGAGCCCATTTTGTAGAGAAGCATCTGTTGGATACCATCGATGAAATCATGATTATCTAGCCTTTGTTTTCAGGTAGAAACCCTGTTTATCGAAGGACAGGTCAAAGCTTCTAAAGAGGTTTCCCGCCAGAGACGAGCAACTCCCAAAGATAAGGATGCTGTTAAGGTGTGTGGCTTCTTGTGAGGGCTACAAAGAACAGGCGCATCTCTAACTGCTTTTAGGCTAAGACGTTACGAAAAGCACGTAACGCTCGCAAAGCTCGTCAGATTCGTAAGGCTCGTCAACAGCAAGCAATCAACAGGCGTGAAGCTAAGATTCGCCGAGCTCGTGCTCAGTCTCGTGCTCAGCTCAGGCGCATCCAACGCTCAAAACGACTCCGCTCTCGAAGACGAGCCGCTGAAGGCAAGAAGGTCGACGGGACGAAGAAGGAATGAGTTGACGACTATGACAACTTTTTACGCCATATGAATTATCAGCTTTATCAAGAAAACAGCAATAAACATTTCTATTTAAACTTCTCGTTCTTCTCATTCAGTCATAAGAAGAAGAGACTGTCATAAGAACTTTCTGCAGGAAGCGCAGTATGGTGCTAGTGAACGCACAATATCTCGCTTTCCAACATGAGCACGTCATCGTGTTGTTTCTGCTGAATACGACCCCCCTCTCAAAAAAGGAAGTCTCCTTACAACTTTTCTTCCCAAATAAAGAGGTGATATCCATGGGATACTTGACTTGTCAACGTTCGCGTATTCAGAAGTTGCAGTGGAGCACGCTATTTTAGAATATGTTGCAGTATGTGCCAGAAAATCCAGAAAAAGTCTTTTTGAATATCCATAAATTCTTTGACAGTAGAAATTATAAAGCGGGAAAAACAGAGCTCTGGGGTCGGTTCTGATTAGATGTCCTTGAGACCTTTCAAACATCTCTTTTGAGGGCATTTCTGTTCAAATCGCTGCTGAAACTTATTGAAAAGTTCAAATTTATAAAGTTTGTGCGCATTCAGAAGTTGCACTGGAGCACGCTATTTCACAATATGTTGCAGTATGTGCCAGAAAATCCAGAAAAAGTCTTTTTGAATATCCATGATTCTTTGACAGTAGAAATTATAAAGCGGGAAAAACAGAGTTGTGAAGCTCTGGGGTCGGTTCTGATTAGATGTCCTTGAGCCCTTTCAAATATCTCTTTTGAGGGGCATTTCCGTTCAAATCGCTGTTGAAATTTACTGCCTATTTCAAATAAGTTTTCATGTTTTGAAGCCATAACCTTCTCCATATATGTATCAGGCAACCAATAAAGTTCGTGCGGTTTTTTTAATTGTCTACTTTTATGAAGTATATTCAGTAAACTGGATCTAGTGGTAGGGTAACTTTGAATACATGTTAAGACATATGTCAAGGAGTGTCATTCAGTGTATTTGTTAATTTAGATTACTTTCAATCAAGGCGAATAGAAAAGGTGTGATTTTTCCACCAGGACAATGGCGACTAGGATGGGAAATTCTACCTCACCCTCCGTACTCGCCAGACCTTGCTCCAAGTGACTATCATCTGTTTTTGGCCTTGGACAACCACATGAGGAATCGGCGATTTGAAAATGAAGTGGCTTTGGACAACGAACTAAAACATTTCTTTAATTCCCAAAAGCAAGATTTTTACAAAAATGGAATATATGCTCTTGTGTCTAAATGGGAAAGTGTATTACTTGCTGAGGGTAATTATTTTTCGGAATAAATCTAAGTTTAACCCGTTTTTATGTTATTATTTCGCTACCTTCAAAACCGCACGAACTTTTTTGGTTGCCTGATACACTGGGGAGTCAAAAGCGATGGCATGAGGACCCTCCCTTTTCAAAAAGCACCTCGATTTTCCTCGCTGTGCATGAGATAAAAAGTCCCCGTCGTTCGATTGTTGTGGATAGTCTCGGGCAACACTAAAAACCAACTCCTCCGACGCAAACCCATTCCATTTCTTTCAAAGACTTCAAAATGCCTCTGGAGTACATCTGCGTCAGAGTTGATAGAGAGTAGTTCATTTGGCGCTGATTGACGTCATCTATGTATTGCGCCATGCATCCGACTCTCACGCAAAGGTGTTGGAGAGGCGTAATTCTAGATAAGCTTTCTCCGATCAATCAGATGAGCTCCGCTGTCAATAAAGGTCCGAGTGCATACTGTGCTTCGTTTGCTCATTAATTCACGGCGTCGCTATAGGTCATACTTTCTCGTACTTAATTCACGGCGTCGCTATAGGTCATACCTTTCTCGTACTTCATGTCATCGCCTGTTCCCACTTCATAGCAGGGCACGCCCTACTTTGGGGAATACCCAGCGCCGGGGTGTGGTGGGGGAAAGGCGTATTTGATTACTGGGGGAAGGAGGTTCGTATTTGGTCTGACAGGAAAATTTATTAGACTGCGTGTTTTTTCCTGTCCCATGGGCGTTCTTCACATCGATGGGAGATTTCCGCGTGAGAGTAGGTTGTATTTGCTTGTCGTTAGGAGAGACGGTCGTATTAACCTTCGAAAGAAATTGCTGGTGTTGACTTCTCGCGGTTTTTCCTGTTTCTCTGGTTCAACACTCCTCCCCAACCTCTGTCTCCCCGCTCGAGAGCAAATTGTTTGGGGGAAAAACCGGGAATTTTTTGGGGAATTTCGATCAAAAAAGGGTGGCAATGGTAAGAAGCTTGGAAGAGTCGGCAAGAGAGGCAAGACAATAATTAGGATGAGAATGGGGGCGGGGGCGTAGCAGGAGACGAAATGGGGGCCATAATTCAGAAAAAACTCCCAGCGGCAGGCCATGCCCTGCTTCTAAACCAACAACTTGCCTATGTCTTCAATTTACTATTCAGGTGCTCTACACAGCAAGAACCATGAATTCTCTCTAATCATAGGATGACTGAACCACATCCGAGTATCGCTGCTCTTCTCACATCTGAGTGAGCCCAAGGACCTCCCGCCCTTGTGGTCCGATACGACCCCCCTCCCCCAGTTAATATTTCCACAATGATGGCGTGCACTAATTCCAGCTACTCTCTCTCAGTGGCGACAGGAACGAGCGCTTGTCAGTTTCTCCTTATTTGCTCTACATACAGGGCGTTTTTGGTGGACTCATTGCAGTAGATGAGACTTGAGTGCAGTGTGTTACTCATAAACGGTAAAGCG